AACCATATTCTGATTGGTAGAAATGGGAGGCTTGGCCTGTCACAACCATAGAAGTTGAAACCTAAGAATCCTAAACTTCGTTTTTCAAAAACAAGTGGGAGGAATGATGAGTATGTGACTTACTATGGGTCAATACTATCTATCTATAAAGTTAGTTGATGACTTGATAGGAGTAATGAGAGTTTGTTATCATCCTCAATCATATATTGAAAAGTTCCATTAAAGTTTGCCCAGATTAACCTGTTAGGAGGGCCCCAGGTAAACATTTACCTGTTGGGGTCCTGTTGTGACAATTACATAAAAGGTTCCTTTCTCAGGAACATGTACAATGTGAGCATAGGGCCCATCTAAAAGACACAGACACAAAATGAGCCAACACTGAAGGCCTTGCCTTAATTGACATTGTCAGTTGTTGTGTGGTACCAAAAGATACAAAGTGAATCTGGAGCTTCTGAGGCAACTAATGGTCTGGGACTCCTGAAAAACGTTTCTTTGTTCAACTGGTCATCCAGCTGTGCATGAAAGGAAAAAATGTGGTCCTAATCACACCAACCATTTTTTGATAATTGCAGGATAAAGGTCTCTACAAGGTGTAGCACCAATGTGACAAAACTATCAGAGCCACGGTCATCCTGTAAGCAACCACTGGATGAAAAAAAATCTAATTATATTGCACATCTGCAAACTTTCTCCAAGAATAAACAATATGGTGGCTGTCTGCTGATTCCGCTTCAGTTAAAAAATACAAAGCTGTGGTATTTCATAGTCCTGGTCATTGTTGCTAGCAGAGGCAATGGCACTACACTGTCAAAAACACGGCTTACAACACTGCTGGGAAGGGGGAAGAGGAGGCTGTAAAGTAACCTGGGATCAGCTGACAAACCACAATGACGTAGTCGATTCTGTAGGGGGTGGCCCACAGAGACCACAGCTGGAACCACAACTGACATGGAAGCGTGGGAATCTTTGTTTGATCATTAGAATTGTACATATTCCCTTTATAAGTTAACCTCCATCTAGCATGTACTAACAGTCGTTTGGCTGCTTTGAAGTGGGTTATTGAACTTGAACTGAAATAGACCCAAAGATGAGTTTACCGTGGCAAACCTAAAATGCCCATATAAGCACAAAGAGAAGTGCTGCTGATTGGTCAGGTCATCTCATCATATTTAACTCTGGTTAATCAATACACATGCGAAGGCAAACTTTACACTGCAAACTCTGCAGCACTTTGTTAAACTTGTAGATGGCACCTCTGCACTTTCACTACTTTGAGCTACATAGGGGGAAAATGCCACTGTTTACTAACTCTAAATGAAGACGTTTACTCTCTGGGACAGGCGACAAAGTAATTCACTGATTTTGGGAAAGTTTCAAAGGTTGAAATAGTGATGAAAAGTGTGTGTGACTTCCAATGAAAACTGCCTATGGCTACAGGAAAAAAAAAATTAAAAAGCTCATTACAAAGCCAAAGAAAAGAGAAAGTATTAAAAAGTTTTCTCACGCTTTACTTAATTTACAGTTCAACTTGCTGTGATTTATTCTTCAAGAATCCTGTCAACAAGCCAAATTTTATGAACGGTTAATTTTACATATTTCATCCTGTACAAATGAAACGGATCTGCACACAAGATCCATCAATGTAGAGGCTGTATGTTTATTTTACAGTCTTAAATGCCAGATGATAGTGATCTAGCACCCCTGGATTACACTCCACCAGGCCCAGACATTAATCTCTATAGACAGCTCTGTCTCTAGTTTACACAGATTTTTCACATTTTCCTCAAAATCAATATGGTGACAAAATTGTTTCAGACTTTTTAAGTTTAAATTTGAGAGTTTTTGTGGGGAAAGGTGAACGATGTAAATACAAATAGTTTAGAAAGCATTTCTAAAGACATTTTAATCACTATTAGTACAATGCCGCATAGAGCCTTTTATAAGCTTGCACAAATGAACAGAAAATTTGTCCCAAAAAAAATCTTTTAATAATTCTGTTTAAATGCATTAAAATGTAAACATTTTCCTCTCAACAACAAATTTGTCATCCCAGTGACTAATGGCGGAGTCAACTATGTACAGGCAGGTGAAGAATGAAAGGAAAAACATGAGCCCTTGACCCCTGTTGTGAGTGAATGTGGTGGCTGTGTTGTGCTGTGAGGGCATTTTGCAGTCATGGCTTGGGTCCACTTGTCCCCATAGAGGGAAGGGTTACTGCAAATCAACAGAGTTGTTGTAGGTGATCACCTTCATCCGATGATGAAACATCTCTGTCCTGATAGGAGGGATCTCTTCCAGGATAACAATGCCAACATCTATAGGGCATGGGGGATCACTGAATGATTTGATGAGTACAAAAATGATATGAATCATATGCTATGAGCTTCAGTCACCACATCTCTAACCAATTAAACACCTACACTGACATGTTTGCCCGCAGTCTCCACCACCATTATCAAAACACAAAATTTGGTAATATCTTTTGGAAGAATTATCCGCCATACTCTCACCCACAGGCAATATAAGAGGAGGGTAATGCATAGAATTACATTTTTTAGAAAACATCACACAATAACTCAGAAGTTGCTAATCTACTCCCAAAAAACAAACACTGCAGAGGACATGACATCGTTCAAACTGACTGCTGAGGGAATTCAGTGGCATGTTTATAACTTGTTCAGTAAAAATTCCACTGAAAAACTGAACTTGGGCACAAACATGGGTAGATCATGTCAGCCCCAGAAAGAAAGGCTCCAGCAGGTTAGGTTCAAACTCTCCAGCCTCCTGCTGCTAAGCCACAGCGCTAACCACTGTGCTGGAATAAAGGACAGTGAATAATGTTACCAGCTTTATGCTGATGAAGCAAATTCCTGACACACATACTCAGTTCACGGGCAATTCTTCTTTTCCATACCACCCTTGCTTTCTGTTATGTTCGTATAAAAAACAAAAAAAAAGCTGCATTACTGACAGCTCAAGTTGGAACCACAAATTACCAGAGCGAGCTCATTAAGACGACTATGTGGTATTTTAAAGTACACTGTAACAGTCGAGGTGCTAAAATTTTAAGCCAAAGCCAAGTATTCTGGTATTTTCTGCTATGTGCAGGCTGGGACCTCTGCTCTGTTGTTGCCACTTTTGTTCAACGACACTGTTGCATGGCGACCAGAATAATAGCAAAGGACTTAACATCGCAAGTCAGAGGAAGACATGAATAGGATACAGAGGAAAACCGACGCAACGAGGGAAAACAGAGACATCCAGACAACTGACACTGATGGAGACTGGGATGCTTAAGCCGAATCTCCTTCTATCATCAAGCTAAGACAAGCTAACAGCCCTGCTGAGGAATTGAGGGGGCTTCTGTGTGTGACAGCGAGTTTCACAAAGACATGGCTCCAGGAAGTATTCCAGATCTCTTAGTTAGCACTGATGTCTTTCAGACAATTTGAAGAAGCAGAACGAGTAGTAAGAACAGAGCCAGACGGCTTGTTGCTTTTATTAATAAATGGTGCTGCCCTGGTCACACTACAATGAAGAAACATTTCTGCAGCCCAAGTACTGAATTGCTCGCTGTGAAGTTAAGTCTATACTACATACCTCGGGAGTATTTGCATTTCATCTTGGTTGTTGTTTATTTTCCTCCCTTCACTAACACAGCGACCATGTGTTACATCATCCAGTCTGTTGAGACTCAAATACTCTAGTCAATGCATGCCAATGCTTTCTTTTATTTGTAAAATTCTGTAATTTTCTCATATTTAAGGACTTGTTAAAAAACAAATCAAATTCCTTGTAACAGTTCCTCTTAAATGTATTCTAATACTCTATGTACTCTATTGTGTGTGACACTGTGGATGCTTTTATAATGATGTCACAACCTTGTGATTGATTATCTGACCCAAGAAATTTCTCCTCTTTTGACAAGTGAAACAGCAAACATATATTTTACTAACTCAAACTCTTTATTAGTCAAACCAACAAATTAACCACAAAAAAAACACTAATTCACAGAAATGCTAAAAAAGCAAAAGGGGGAAATAAAATAAATTTATAGACAAGAAACAAATTCAAGCAGAACATGCATTAAGCTATATGCCTTATTCCAGAAATGCAGAACCATGTCAAGTGCCAAAAACTATAATATTTATATTACAATTAAATACTACACCCAGTCATTTCACTGATTAGCCCCCCTCTCTCTCTGGTTAAAGGTCAGCATATTTTACCTACATTGCAAGTCTGCGTGAAACAACTTACTAAGAATTTCCCATAAAGACATTTTCTTTTACGACAGAACTCACTGCATAGGAATTCAGCTGCAAGCTAATCAGTAAACTATATATTCCCTATTTCATGTATGGTGGCATTAAAATATATCACACAAGGCATGACAAACCTGAAAAAAATTGACAAGACTGAGCAATAAAACCGTGATGATGAGTACACACTGTCCAAACTCTCCAACATCATTCATGCCCAGAAGCTCAACCCTGGCACAGATGACAGGCCCACTCCCCTCCCCACACAAAAGGAGAGCCTGGTGCTAGGCTGATTCAGCAGGATGCTAAATCAAACCCAGGAGCATTAATTACACACAGCATTATCAATCAGAGCAAAGTGTGTGCAGGGTTATAAGGTTTGAGATTGATCAGACTGACGATCCATCAAAAACAGCGATGGCCATTGTTGGCTTTCTGCTGATCAGCTAAAGTGCTGCACCACAGATGGAGAGCAGTGTAGGGTAGGGTGTGGTATGGAGAGGGGATTGGGGTTAAATGGTTAGTAGAGAAGGGGGGGGGGGTATATATGTCATTTGCTCACTGCTGTGATTTGTTTGTTCGGGAGAGGGAGGGCTCGGGAGGGATTTAGGAGGAGGTGGGGTACAAAGCTAAAAACAGTAGGGTTTAATGATCAGCTAATCCCCCCTCCTCTACTGAGAGGGCAGTATATAACACAAGGCAGCCTGCTGCTCTCACATCATTTTAACAGCAAGGAAGTCTAGCTTATAGGCAGAGGGAGAGAACAGAGTGTTGAGAAGTGGGGGAAAGCTAGAGCACTATTAGGAAATATTTCACAAGTCAGGATTGGAAGAGAAAAAACATGATGAAGCTGTTTTGCCTGTTGCTGGTGCTCGTCAGTTCCACTGCTGCCGCACATCTGGAAACCTCAGGTAGAGACGAGTACCCCACCCTGCCTTCGCACGTCTTCATCACAGCACCGAGTCCAACCGAGGCAAAGTCTCGCTTTGCCATGCTGGATGATGTTCGCCTTCTAGCAAACGGCCTCCTCCAGCTCGGACAGAGTTTACGGGAGTTTGTCCACAAGACCAAGGCCCAAATCAATGACATCTTCCAAAAGCTGAACATTTTCGACCGCTCTTTCTACCAGCTCTCAGTGGTCACCTCGGAGATCAAGGAGGAGGAGGAAGAGCTCAAGAAGACCACCAATTTCTTAAAAGCCAACAATGAGGAGATCAGGAACCTGTCGCTGGAAATCAACTCTAAGATCAACAACATTCTGCAGGAGCGTACACTGCTGCAGAGCAAGGTGGGGAGCCTTGAGGAGAGGCTGAAGGGAATATCGCAGAACATGGTCCCTGCTGACCAGCTTAGTGAAATCACAACTCTTAAGGTGAGAAGCTACTGAAGCTACAACTTTCTTATTTAAATTTAAGCACATCAGCAAGTTGGAGATCTGTCCATTAAAAGAAGTGAATGGAGAGAAGGCAAGCTTTTAGTGCACCAAAAGTTTTTTTCTGAAATTGGTTGAATACTTGAAATATATCTCAACTAACTTTGTTCATATCAACCAACATGCCACTTAAAATACTGCTGCAGAAAATGGCAACAGGTCCAAGATAAGCCTATGTGGTAGCATCCATCTTCATTTAAGCGTGATCTATTGCAGTACTATATTTATGATTATTGATTAACAATGAATCCTGAACTACATGTTGCATTATTGATTCCAACTCCACTTACATGTTGTCTAAATACAGTACAGGCAATAGAACTCTGCAACTGTTTACTGCCAGATAGAAAGCAACTTAACTCACTGCAAAATATTTTTTGTGTTAATTGTTTGGTACAAATAACAAGTCAATTTCATCATTATGCTGCTAAAATCAATAGTTCCACTCACTACAGAAAAACACTACAAAAAAAAAAAGTACTATTCACAGGACTAAAAAGCTGCTCTCCTTAAACAACACTGTAAAGTCCAACACATGCACACGTATAATGGATGAATAATGTTTTTATCTCTGTATTTTTCCAGGATGTGATTGAAGCGCAAGAGAAAACGATCACCAATCTTCTCCAGGCTGTGAAGGAGCAGCATGATCAGCTTGACCACCAGAAAAACAAGATCAAAAACCTAGAGGAAAAGGTAGTTGTACAAGAGTTCACTATATTTCATCACCTGTGAGAATTTGATCAGGTACTTTGAATTATCTATTCAAATTCTGCTTTAGGAAAGCGGCAAGTGGGATTTCTTTTTCTAGGGTTTAAAACATTATCTAACATCAATTTGCATTCCCTTGCAGCTCAGCTTCGACAGTTTTCAAGATACAGTTGATAAGCCGATGGATCCAGACCATGCGGCGCCGGACATGTTTGAATATTTGACGGGAAACTCAACTGGTCTGGACACAAGTGGTAATGACGTAAAACACAATCAAAATGTTTTAGTAAATACGTAACATCTTGAAATAAAAGGATATTGCAATTTGCGCGCATTCAGTTTAATTTTGTTTACTGTGTTTCAGACTTGGCTATGGACTGCAGTGAGCTGTTCAACAAAGGAGAGGCAAACAGCGGAATCTATGTTATCAAACCAAACCAATCAGAGCCATTCAATGTTTACTGCGAAATGGGATCAGGTGAGTGAGACTTCAGTAATCTCAGCGAGAGCACCAGAAACACCATTTCTGTATTCAGAGGCACTGACATTTATAGGATAAATTACTGGCATTTGCACACATCTCCAATCAACAGGCAGGGAGCAATAAACAAAAGGTTATCAAGCTAGATAGGAGGAGGAAGGAGTTATCCGCGAGGGCAGACAATAGGGTGGATATCCTATTGACATTATCGATGATAAGTAGTCTTTCTTATCTTTGAGCAAACTTTTGTGTGCTTAGAAATCTTTCTCATTTCCTCTACAGATGGGGGCTCAACTGTGATCCAGCGCAGAGTTGACGGTTCAGTGGATTTTGACCAGACGTGGGAAAAGTATGAAAAAGGTTTTGGAGATCTGGAAAGTGAGTACACTCAACTTTGTATAAAGTAAATGCTATTTTTTTTTATTTTAAGTTTTAAAAACAACATACTGTTTGAACTTGACGCTAAAGAGTTTCATTTAAAAGAAATATTGGTGCCTGGAGAAAAAAAAAAAAAGGAATACATTTACATTTATACGGTCTGCTAGTTTTTGTACGACCAAAAGACCAAAACCCAAAGATATTACATTAACCAGGCAAGCAGTAAATCTCCACATTTTAGAAGCTGGAACTGGGAAAATCTTTGCATTTTTAATTGAAAAATGCCATAAACGATTAACTTACTATCCAAATGGTTGTCAGTTATTTTTCTAGCAATTAACCAATTGATTTTGTGATACAAGCATTGTACAGTTTGTCCTAACTACTGCATTAGCCTGCAAATACGTTTTTTAGTAGTGCGGGGGGGCATTTATAAGTGCTCCCTATAGTCATGGTCACGGGAAACAGGGATCGTTAAATATCAGCCCTGAACTGACAAAGTGCCTTCCTGTATTGTCTGAGCACACAGCCAGTTTGGCAGCTTTCCCTGCAGCACTTGAAACACTCAGACGGGCGTTCATTGGTCCAGGCACGCTGCACTTCAAAGAAATGGCAGCTATGAATTTTAGTTGCAACATTCTTTCACAACTACATGTCTAATGGTTATACCCTACATGATAATGCCTTTTCTAATTAAATACACATGACTCAAAGCCTATTGGAGATGAACAAGAAATTGATTAAGTCTTGGAAGGAAGAAAAAAAAGATGCATGCAACTGAAATGTTTGTGAGATTACCTACTGACAGACAAAGAGACATGTACCTATGAATAGAGTTTCTTTTATGTATGAAATGTCTACACAAGTTAATTGGATTGATTAATGTGTCATGCAGAGGACTACTGGCTGGGCCTGAAGAAGATTCACAGCTTTACACAGCAGGGAGTTTACATCCTGCGTGTTGATCTGGAGGACTGGAAGGAGGAGAAGCACTGGGCTGAGTATTGCTTCTCACTGGAAGGCCCCTCCAAGGACTATGCCCTTCATGTCAGCCACCTCTCAAGTGACCTGCCGGATGCCATGGCCAACAGCACCGGCATGAGATTCTCCACAAGAGACAGAAATAATGACAACCACCGAAATTCCAACTGCGCTCGCAGTTACACAGGTACAGAGTTTTACAAGCTGATTCAGCACAAAGTGCAGCTTAATGGCCTGTATCCCCATCACAGCAATAAACAAAACAATGAGCCGCATTGCAGGCATTTTTGTAATTTTTTAAACAACGGTTGTGTAAAACATTCAGAGGACAAAATCATTAAGATAAGGCCAATTTGTGTTGATGTAACTTGTGTTTCCTGTCCTGACCCTTTGGCAGGTGGCTGGTGGTTCAACGCCTGCGGGGAAACAAACCTTAATGGAAGGTACTTCTGGTTGAGGGCAAAGGGACGCTCTGTGAGGAGGAAGGGCATTCACTGGAAGCCTGGCACAGGGTCCTCATATTCCCTCAAGATGACCAAAATCACCATACGACCAGCTCTGACTGCTGATTGCCCCAACTAAGCAGCCCACAGTTTCTCACACAATACTACTGGCATTTCCCACATATGATAGTATATCTAATGTTCAGCCAGAAAGTTCCATAGTAGGGGAAAGTGGCTTTCCATATACACAAGTTATCTGCAGTATTCAGCTGACTGCTTCACAACACCATTTTGTCAGAAACTAGTACTGATCAACAGAAAGCCGGTCAAAAATGTCAGAAGTCAGATTATGCTGAACTGTCAAAATGATGCAACCATGACCTGTAGGCTGTTAACCTATTGGGTCTGATCCAGCAAGGACAGTAGAGCTGCCATTATGCAACATGTGCAACCACTTGCAAAATAGACATATTGATCCACATCAGCGACCCAATTCAGTGCTGGCTGTAAAATGCCACAGTGTTGCAGTAGGATCAAAAACTATGAAGAAACTACAATTCTAAAAATGACATGCTTAAGTATCTTTTAGGTAAACTTACATGTATTTGACTGCTTGTATGTAAAGTCTATTTTATCTTAGCAATGTGATGCTGTACTGCATGTCCCCAGGAGCTACAGACACAAATACCAACAGGTTATTACACAAAGCAAGTACATTATGTAAGTCAGCCGCATCTCCAGTATTTGAAAAAGTGCCCATGCTGGTGATTTTTTTCTAGTGAAGACTTCTTCTTGTTCAGTTACATGAAAAAAAAAAGAATCTACAAAGTGGGTACAATGTCAGCTACCAAACTCAGTACGAAATATTGTATATTGTTTTATATGAACATACCATATTTTCTCAAATAGTTACCGCAGCCTTTTGTTCCTCAACTGCAGAAGGTCAAAGGACGTTATCTGAAGCAACCTTGGATTAGAGGCAGAAGTTTGATTCTAATTCTTCAGTTTGATAAGTATAGTTAGTTTAGCATTATAGTTAGTTGTTTATTAAAATGACCACATTACACTGCTAATACAAACTTAAAACCACGTGTAATTGTTTCAAATTAAAAGCCACCTTTCAGTGAACGGAAACCCTTCATTCTTAACGGGGCTTTTATCACATATAAAATAACAGCCAGAAGGTATTCAAGGACAACAAAGCAACGCTTTTTTTTTTTCACCCCACCTGTAGCTAGATGCCAGTTGTTACGTGTTCAACTACGTCCACAGCCATTATCCAAGACCAGACTTTTAAATTGACTACCGTCATTATTTGAGGAAATATGGTACAAAGCTGATTACGTTTTTCTGTCTGTTTTATGTTTTTTTTATTCTGTAAAGTATTTAAACCATGTTCATGCTATTATATGATTATGCTGTTACTGTCAAAAGAACATAATTTCTGTGTATTTCCTCTGTTATTGAGTCATATTGACTCCTGTCCATTATTACAACATAACTAACTGTACTGTAAATGTGCCTCATACTAACACCTGTCACCCTGACAAGTAGCTATGTTCGCTAACTAATCATATTTATGAAAACTAAATAAATAAATAAATCTGTCCAAATAACTATCTAACATAACCACATTTTTCTTTTTATTTGTAGTGAAGTGTTTAGGTACATTGAAAGAAACAAAGCAAAGGTTCGTGTTCACATGCTTCTTTTGATAGAACACAAAGTTGTAGCCGTGTCAGCAGACTATGCTTCAAATATCAATGTTGGTGCAAAGTACCGACCAATTCTAGAACGTGGATGCCTCACACATGTCTTCGACCAGGTAGCGCAAAAGATCTCAACAATCACCACAGCATTAAAGCAGACATCCAAAATTAGTGTTACCACTTCAGTAGCCAATCAAATGTGAAAAATGGTCACAAGCTCACCTTCTTATCCTGAGTTATGTCATTGAATATTTGCCAGAAAAAGGTTTTTGCAGAATATTTTGACACCACACTGAAGTATACCTGTGACCTCTTGGATATAAAAAGTCATCCCATTTGTGTAAAAGTTTGTAAGTGTACAAATTCTGGAGTTACAACCAAAAACGGGTTTTGTGAGGCCATCCAACTTGAACTTTGTCCATTTAAAAACAAATCAGTTCGTTCTTAAGTCTGAGTGGACATTTCTGTAAAATTTGAAAATATTCTCTCAGGGTGAATGGGTCAGGCGCACTGACAACCAAAAAACTGAATGGCTTGTGTTGGATAAGGAGGTCTGGAACCTGGTTACTTGCAGACAAACAAGGCCTGTGGTAGTGAGACCCTGTCAGGTGCCAGTTATGTCTGGTAGTAACCTATCTCTCTCAGTGACCTTGACAAAAATAGCCGTTGTTCAGGTGGAATACGTGCACTAAGTACACACATCATGTCTGCCACTGTAAGCAGGTCATGTCTGCCTGTGTATTCAGTTTACTGGCAGACACTGTGTCCACTATCAGACACAAGGTGAACATTAACCAACCACAATGTCAGTCATCACTGAACAAAGCCCAATCTGACACACACTGGTTTTTAAAGGCATGATTTTTGGATTAAAGGCTTCTCCTAACTGATGGTATAATCACCCATTAACCAACTCACTTTCAAAAAAGCAGCCAAGTAAGAACACTTTAACTGAAATATAGCATTTTTGATGATCATAGTCCATGTGTAAGCATGAAACCCTTATTATTCTTGAAAGGTAAAATAGAGTGAAAGCAAATTATTATACTCTCCAGGCTAAACTGATTAAAGTGAGAAAAGACAGAAGTTGTCCTGTACCTGTATGTAGTGTTTGGCACATATACATCCCGAGCAGGGAACTCCAGGATCTCCCTGGTAGGCCGCACCCTGCTGTCTGGGTAAGGTTTAACCTGCTGGAGGTCAGGGGTCAAGCAATAGTGGGGGTTCTCTGGAGCTGGAGAAATGTCCAACTTCAACTGGGCTGTGGCAGACAGTCACAGAGGAAAAAGAAAACGTCAATATAAAGTGGTCCATTTCTTTAAATTTTACATCAAGATAATCAAAGAAACAAAAAGGCATCAATTCCAGTGTTTTCTGTACCTGTGATGGGTCTGAGTCTCCTCAACACTGACGAGGGCCTTCTCATATCAGCTAGGAACTTATACAAATCCTCATCACTCAGCCGGTCCCCCTCCTAATAAATGTGGAGTACAAAAAAAAACAAAGAAAAAATTACAAATAGAAAATATGCATTTCACTATGTGCATAAATTACGTGAACTTCAAACATATAGTACATTTGGGCGTGTACTATACTGTATGTACAGGTAAAGGTGCACAGACCTGTTTAAAGAAGTTGGTGATGGTAAGTGTTGCAGGCCTGAAACCTGTCAGACTACATGATTCATCTCCACTGGTTGTCCTTTCCAGAGAACGCCTTCCCATGATGCTCGAGTTCCTCCGTTCTGACCATGAGCCTTTTCTCTCTGTGCGCAGACAAAATGACAAAATCTTAAAAACCTTTCTAGAACTCTGGTTCCCCCAAGATTTTTCAATATGAATCCATTTTTGTCCTTTGCGACCCAGAGGATATTTTTCTCTAATCTGCATAAACATTTTTTCTAATCTGCCTAGTAACAGACGGCAGCATCCACAGTCTGCATCAAAGATACCTTGTGAGGTCAAAGGTTAGACAAACATCAAGGGTCAAACTCAAAATAACACACAAGGATCAATATGGCTGGATACATTGTTTGGATGTTTTTGCTCTCTGTTTGAATTTGCTTTCCTTACTATTTGTCATGGGAACGTGTTTTTAGATAAAGAATGTTAAGTGTGGCAATGTATTGACATGTCCATGAGCCCCATGCGTGACTGCCGGGTCTTTTATGGTCTACGTCCCCAGATAACTATAAGTGACATTGAGATTGCAAGCAGCCATAAAAAGCAAATAAATATTGTTTTTTAAACAATGTACAAGGAAATGGGTAGTAGGTGTATAGACAGCCTTGGATCCCACAAGAAGCCGATGACAGGAATTTAACATCAGCAAATTCTGTTGGTAATGTGAAGGACAAGTGCCTTCATTCGACACATACTTGGAGTCATATTCACATCCGCAAATGAATAAATTGATTCCCATCCGTCTATTTTTTGTGTGTAAACTCTCAAAAAAGTGTCCATTACAAAGTAAATATTGATTTTAATGTTTTTTCTCTTCACTGTGACTGGTAAAAACTAGATGCTGTGATACACACTCTACAGTATGTTTAAATTGACAGTCTAAAAGCTAGGGTTAAAAGGGTCAGACCTGAGAGGCTCATCTCCAGCTCTGTATCTCTCTCAAGGCTCCCAGCACTGTTCACAATGTTCATTAGATGGATGGCGGTCCACGCAAACGGCATTCGGTAGCGGCCCAGACGCTGGCAGAACTGCTCCGACTGGCTACGAAGCTTCTCCAGCTTCTCCTTGTTCTATTAAAAAAGGCACGTTAAATGAGTTATCTCTCATGATTTATTAAAAAAGGATAAAAACAGTTCACGAGATCTAGTACTACAAGCTGCAAACTAAGATGTACTTCACTGAAAATTCACTGAAAAATGAGTTTGTACACTGATAGATGCAGTTTTAAAATCAAACATGTGTTTGAGGTCTACATTCATATAGCATCAAGTGTTAGTATTATTATTATCTATTTGATGCAATCATTCAACATCTAATTCACACTGATCATACCTTGGCAGCATCTGACTCTTTGAAGACCATGTAGGGCTCAGCACATTCTCCAATATCACCTTGCTGCAGTACTTTTTCCAGCTGATGATGAAGCACACACAGTTTACAGTAGTTACACAAACACACAGCAATGACAAAGCAGACAAAGGCTGACTGTCCATTAGTTTTCGTAGGAGTATTTAAAATGCTGCATTACATGTTTACTTCTGGATCTTATGTCGGAAAAATGGAGGGTGTCATGTATTTAAGGACCATACTTACAACACCAAATAGTCTTATTGAAATGACAGACTTTCACTGTAATCATTTCTCCTCCACAGATTTGATCGGCCAGTGTTTTTTTTTTTTTTAAAGTCCATTTACAGTGTGCCTTTCAGAGTAAGTCAGCACTACAAATCAAGATCTACACGATGTGTTTTTGCTGCCACTGAGGAAATTCTGACAAGTGAAAACAAGTTGAAAGCATTTCTTGATGTCTTTACTGCAAATACAGAGAGACAGGAGACTGAATCATCTGTTAAGCTACATTAGGTCGTGGTTTATTGGAAGTATTTTGTTTGCCCCCATCACTTTTACAGTCATCTTATAATCATGGTCGTTTATCATTCAAGACAACACATATAGGACAGAGGAAATTATAGCGTAACTGTTTTTACCTTGATGACTAGGAAGACGTCCTGGGAGGGGTAAGTGATGGAGAAAACGGCAGAGCGTGCAAGTGTGGAGATGGCTGCCGTCTGAATGTGCGGACGCAACATTGCTTTCGTCTGCTCGGAATTCAAGTCGAAGAAGAAGTTCTCCGATATCTGAGAGACACATGCAGAAAGACAAACAGGTGATTATAATTTAATCGTGGTAATCGTGAAATGTAATATGAGCACACCATCACAAATATTATCAAACAGAAATGTGTACCGATGCACATCGCCATCATTATAGGTATCAGCCGAAAAATGCTTTAAAATGAAATATTAGAATCGGGAAAAACTGAAAACTCACAGTTAGACTAAAAGCAGCAGTACTGTTTGGAAGATAAATATGGCGTGGTTAGCATTTACATTTGGGTACTATTCTTGGTATGACTGAGTGCTTTATTATTATTTATTATTATTTATTATGTCTGAATGCGTGGATCATCACAATAACAGTCGGCAAAATAATATGTTAATCCCAAAGTGGGAGAAACTTGATGTTTTCTGCAATTAGGTTGAAAAATGATGCGCATATATCGACAAGCTACCAAAATTAGTTGCAAAATAACAGATTTTAATAAAAATCCAATACCTTGGATCACTGAATGCTGAATAATTTTTAATTCAAAGGCTTTGCTATTCTAACCTGATTGAAAAGCAGCATTTAAGTGAGAAATGAACCACCTGTGAAATATTGGAGCTTCTATGCAGGGCGACATATATAAGAGATCTACTTATCAAGATGACTGCTACCCTCTAGTGTTTGTGAGCTAAAGGCGAGCAGACCGAAGCAGCACTAGATGGGCTTGTTCCGATAGATACATAGTTCCAGTGTTTGATTTAACTGCATTCCTAAAAGCATAACAGGCCCACAACATAAAATTTTATCGTCCACTCATCAAATTCGTTTTGGCCTCCCAACAATTTTAATGGTTTCCAGAAGTGACCCAACAACTCAGGGCTGAGGAGGCACTGAAGAAAGCATAACAGCTTACCTTTTTCTTTTCCTTGACATCGTATAAGGCCAAACTAGCAAATATGGGTTCAATTTCGATCTCAAACCTTCAACGGGGAGAGAAAAAGGAGTGGGTCAGCAGAAAGCAGCAGTTAAATAAAAGAGCTACACGGCTTTTATTTCAGAAAAAGGCTGTCCACCACTTACTTCAAGGACAAGCACTTGACGAGTAGCCTCTGGCCGAAG